ATCTCTCTATCACTACTTTGCTAAGAAATCAACAGCGTGAATCAGACTGGAAGTTCGTCTCAACTTCCTGTAATGTTCTTTGGACTGCCTTTTGAATCTCCTCATCAGCTCCTACTCCTCCCTATCCAAAGCAAGAAAATGACATTTATTATTATTAAAAAAAATTATAAATAAAAATAAAAAAAGATAGTCGCCTTCTTCACCACTGCATCAGCTTCCAATTCATCAAACGTTTAACTTTCTAGTTATTCTGGTACCTGGGATTCGATTTCCATCATTGCAACGAGTTCCCGATCGGTGAAATTCGATTGGATGCTTCGGATTTTCGTGTTCATCTTCTTCAAGCGTCCGAGAACCTCCAACATTGAATCAATCCCGGATGTCGGATTATCTATCCTTGCGGTGATCCTCATTCCTCCGCCGTCTTTGCCCTTCACAGAAACCAAATTCACCTCCAGCTCGCGGTTTCTCTGCTCCAGCTCCAATCTCTGCGCTCGCAGTTCCTGAATTCTCTTCGTTGCAGTTTGTAGTATCGTGTTCTTATCTTTCTGTATCAAAATCAAATATACAATTATAACTAAGAGAGACGAATTGCTTTGATTTTGATAGCTAATTCTTGGTAAATAAGTGTTTGGTGAAGAAATTAAAACCTTGGTGCCGAGTGGCAAAGTAGAATGCAGGGCAGAGTAGCTTGTCTTGTGCCTCTCCCTCCTCATTCTCTCACCAATCATGTGCTGAAAACTTCTATGTTTCTCGTTTTCTCTGTTTTTCAACAACACATCTGTTTGCCTTCTCCAGAACTCGATCATCCTGTTGTTCATGTTCCCAGAATTCGAAGTGTTTCCAGTTTCCCCTGAACCCAATTCGTTTCTGGGTATATTTCCGTACGGTACGAAAGCACTCTGGTTCGGAGCGGTGGCAGTCTCCGGTGGTGGAGGATCGTCGTTGTAGAAAACATCGCCGTTGAGTAGCCGAAGAATCATGTCATCCATGGCGCCCGTTGTTCTCCGTTCCCTGTAGTTTCCAATTTCAGTTTGTTTCTGTTGCTTATAACGGTTACGGATTCTGGAAGTCTTTGCTTTAGAGCACATTGAGCACGTGGTCAAATGTTTTGGGTAACGTATATAGGTCTTGGGTCAAAATAGGGTGATCTCGCGCCCAAGTTAGCGGCAACGCTGTCAATTTTTTTCTTTTTTTTGACCAGATAGATGGTTAGGAAATTAGTAGAGTTAGTTTGTTAGCAGCTGAAATTTTTTCAGGAAAGTGAACCTTCCACTCCCTCATTTGAGACGCGCGACCATTAAGTCGCAAGTTGGTGGAGTTCACGGCGGTGGCAGAGTTCGAAGCCATGACCTCCGCCTCACTCAAGCCCTAAAGCTTAGGAGCAACCAATTAGGCCACAGGCCCGGTTGGCAGCAACGCTATCAATTTGTTCCCATTTTTATTTATAA